CATTCTCTTACATGTAGCTGTCCAGTTTTGCCAACACCAGTTGTTGAAGAGGCTGTCATTTCCCCATTTTATATCCATGGCTCCTTTGTCACATATTAATTGACCATATATGCTTTGGTTTATATCTGGGCTCTCTAGTCTGTTCCATTGGTCTATGGGACTTTTGTTGTGCCAGTACCAAACTGTCTTGATTACTGTGGCTTTGTAGAGCTTGAAGTCAGGGAGTGTAATCCCCCCAGCATTATTCTTCGTTCTCAGGATTGTCTTGGCTATTCAGGATCTTTTGTGGTCCAGTATAAATTTTAGAACTATTTGTTCTAGTTCATTGAAGAATGCCATTGGTATCTTGATAGGGATTGTACTGAATCTGTAGATTGGTTTAGGCAGGATGGCCATTTTGACAATATTAATTCTTCCTACCCATGAGCATGGGTAATATTTCCATTTTTGAGTGTCTTCTTTAATTTCTCTCATGAGAGTCTTGTAGTTCTCAAGGTACAGGTCTTTTACCTCCTCAGTTAGGTTTCTTCCTAAATATTTTATTCTTTTTGATGGAATTGTTTTCCTGATTTCTCTTTCTGCTAGCTCATCATTAATGTATAGGAATGCAACAGGTTTCTGTGTATTGATTTTGTGCCTTGCAACTTCACTGAATTCAGCTATTAGTTCTAGTAGTTTTGGGGTGGATTCTTTCGGATTTTTTTATGTACAATTTCATGTCAACTGCAATCAGTGAGAGTTTAACTTGTTCTTTAACAATGTGAATGCCTTTTAGTTCTTTGTGCTGTCTGATTGCCATTGTTAGGGCCTCCCGTACTATGATGAATAAAAGTGGTGAGAGCAGGAAGCTTTTCACTGTTAAGTATGATGTTGGCTATGGTTTTGTCACATATGGCCTTTATTATGTTGAGGTACTTGCCCTCTGTACCATTTTGTTGAGAGTTCTTATCATAAACAGATTTTGAATTTTGTCAAATACTTTTTCAGCATCTATGGAGATGATTATGTGGTGGTTTATGTCCTTTTTGTTGTGGTCGTGGATGATGTTGATGGATTTTTGAATATTGTACCATTCTTGCAACCCTAGAATAAATCCTATTTGATCATGATGGATGCTTTTTGATGTATTTTTTAATTCGGTTTGCTAATATTTTGTTGACTATTTTTGCATCTATGTTCATCAGGGATATTGGTCCGTAATTTTTTTTGTGTGGTGTCTTTACCTGGCTTTGGTATTAGAGTGATGCAGGCCTCATAGAATGAGTTTGGAAGTATTCCCTCCTTTTCTACTTTTTAGAAAGCTTAAGGAGGATGGGTACTAGATCTTCAGTAAGTATTTGATAAAATTCAGTGGTAAAGCCATGTGGTCCAGGGGTTTTGGTCTTAGGTAGTTTTTTGATTACCAATTCAATTTTGTTGCTGGTAATTGTCTATTCAGATTTTCTGTTTCTTCCTGAGTCAGCCTTGGAAGGTTGTATTTTTCTAGAAATTTTTCCATTTCATCTAGGTTATCCAATTTGTTAGCATATAATTTTTCACAGCATTCTCTAATAATTCTTTGTATTTCTGTGGTGTCCATAGTGATTTTTCCTTTCTCATTTCTGATTTTGTTTATGTGTGTAGACTCTCTTTTCTTGGTAAGTGTGGCTAGGGGTTTATCTATTTTGTTAATTTTCTCCAAGAACAAGCTCCTGGTTTCTTTGATTGTTGTTTTTCTGCTGTGATCTTTATTATGTCCCTTCTTCTACTGACTTTGGGCTTCACTTGTTCTTTTTCTAATTTAACTGTGAGTTTAGACTGATCATATGGGATTGTTCTTTCCTGAAGTACACATGTATTTTGATATACTTCGTCTTAGCATGGCCTTTGCTGCGTCCACAGATTTTTTGTGGTGTTGAGTTGTTTTCATTTGTCTCCATATACTGATCTGTTTTATTTAGTCGTTGATCCACTGATTATTTAGGAGCATGTTGTTAACCTCCATGTGTCTGTGGGCCTTTTTATTTTCTCTGCATAAGTTATTTCTAGTTTCATACCTTTGTGGTCTGAGAAGCTGGTTGGTACAATTTCAATCCTTCTGAATTTACTGAGGCTTTTTGTGGCCTAATATTTGATGTATTCTTGAAAATGTTCCATGTGCACTTGAGAAGAATGTATATTCTGCTACTTTTGGGTGGAGTGTTCTGTAGATGTCTGTTAGGTCCATCTGTTCCAATGTGTTGTTCAGTGCCTCTATCTCCATACTTATTTTCTATCTGGTTGAGCTGTCCTTTGGAGTGGTATGTTGAAGTCTCCTAAAATGAATGCATTGCATTCTACTTCCCCCTTTAATTCTGTTAGTATTTGTTTCACATATGTAGGTGCTCCTGTGTTGGGTGCATATATATTTAGAATGGTTATATCCTCTTGTTGGTCTGACCTCTTTATCATTATGTAATGTCCTCTTTGACTCTTGTGACTTTCTTTGTTTTGAAGTCTATATTTTCTGATACAAGTACTGCAACTCCTGCTTTTTTCTCCCTATTAGTTGCATGAAATATCTTTTCCATCCCTTCACTTTTCACCTATGTATGTCTTTGAGTTTGAAGTGAGTCTCTTGTAGGCAGCAAAGAGAGGGGTCTTGTTTTTGTATCCACTTAGTAACTCTATGTGTTTTGATTGGTGCATTCAGTCCACTGACATTTATGGTGATTATCGATCAATATGTACTATTGCCATTGCAGGTGTCAGATTCATGGTTACCAAGGGTTCAAGGACAGCTTTCTTACTATCTAACAGTCTAGTTTACCTCACTTATTACACTATTTCATACAGAATCTAAGGGTTCTTTTGGTTTCTTTTCTCCTTCTTCTTTCTCCTCCACTCTTTAAGTATTAGGTGTCATATTTATTTATTAGGTTTAGCAGTTTTTTTGTGTGTTCGTGTGTGTGTGTAATCTTTAGCTGCTCTACATACAAGATTATGTCATCAGGTAGCAGATAATTTTATTTCATCCTTTCCAATTTGGATGCCTTTTATTTCTCTTTGTTGCCTGACTGATTTGTCTAAATTTTCAATAGCATGTTGAATAGAAGTGGTGATATCCATGACTTTTTAAAGAAGTTAGTTTCACTTAGAGTATCTCCTCAGGTTAGTACTTTTTTCACTTTGTATTCTACACTTATAGTTATTAAACAGAAGTACACATCAGCATCACCTAAGGAACTTTTAAAACATATATATTTCCTATATTTACCTAGAGATTCTGATTCAGTCGGTTTGGGAAGAGACTCAGCATTTATCATTTTTTTTAAAGGTTCCCAGATGTGCATATGGTGAAGTACTTCTACCCAAAGTAAATACTCTACCCAAGCAATTAATCTTTAAGAACCTTATTTCCTTCATTGGTAAAATGAGTATAATTAGAATGTATAATCCTCATATTTTTGAGGGCTTACTTATATACCAAGTAGCATTCTATGTGCTTAAATATTATTTCATTGAATCCTCACAACACCCTTGTTAAGGTCATTATTATTACTCCTCATCCTTACAGATGAGGAAATTGAGGCAAAGAAAAGTTAACCATCTTGCCCCAAATTGCACAGCTATTAAAAGGTGAAATTAAGATTTAAATTAAATAAACCTAAGTTTAGCATTTATAATCTTCAAGATGGTAGCTGTTATATGGTATAAGCCTAATAAATATTACCTAATAATTATAATAACAATTCATATGTAAAAAAAACCCAGTAAATTATTCATACAGATAGCTCCAAGTCAATAAAAAGTTCAATGTTTATTCTCGATTTATTAAAGCCATCCAAGTATCAATATAATTTAGAAAGGCTTCCATTAAAAACGCATTTTCCATTTAATATTCATGTTTTCATTCTATACTTCAAGTCCAACTGACTCCTCAATCTATTACTACCAGTCTTCTTTTATCACTTTACGATACTGCTCTTGACATTTTCTGATTGTCAAATTAATGTCTGATTTCAATTCCCACTCATTTGAGTGAAACATTTTTACTCTTCAACATTACTCTCTGCCGGTTCTCTTCTTGCCCTCTGCCTACTCTGTCTCATTTTTCTTTTCTTCCTTTCCTTAAAGCTATGCTTTCCCAGTTTCTGTCTCTGGTCTTTGTTCCCCTTCTATGTTTCCTCTGAATGATGTCACCAACAACTCTGGATTTGGTCCCGCACTTAATACTTTAGCTCTGATCTCCCTTACCAGCCTCACAACCAAATTTCCACCTACTGCCTGGGAATCTCTACTTGTATATCCCATAGACATCTCCAAATAAAACTAAGTGAAACAAAACAGAGTCCTTTTTGTTTAGAAAAGGATATAGCTCAGACAGGCTTCTCCATTTCTGCTCTTCCTCCTGGTACCTCATTCTGTCCAATCTCTTAAGTCTGAAAATAGTGATTCATCTTTGACTTTATTTCTGTCCACATTAATCAGGGATAAAGTCCTGTCATTTTTCCTATACATCTCTTTAACTCACCCTCTCCTCTCTTAAGCAATTTCTTGAGTTCAGAATCTTATCACAGATTACAATAACCTGTAAACTACTGTTCCCGAGATGAAATCCTTCCCACCCCACTCTGGAACCTTGTTTTGTAATTTAAACTGTATTGATGGTAAAAAGGGGATCACAGCACCAATATTACCCCTTTAACAGCTTCTTTTACATTGTACTGTAAGTATCTGCTTACATAGTTAATTCCTCCACTTTTTAGTTTTATATCTCCTGGATTTAGAGCAGTGTCTATCACATAAAAAAGTAGATATTTGCTTATTGAATAAATGGCCAAATGATCATGTCACACCTATTTCTAAAGAATTTGAAAATGCTCACAATAAAAGATACATTGCCATTAAGACAAGTAAGATAAAAGGATAGCTTTGCAGTAATCTATAATTTGTTTATAAAAAAGTTAAATTCTTGGAAAACCCACTGATTCAAAATAATTATTTTCCTTAATGCTAGGTGTGGTAATATGTACTCATACCCTTTTTCAAAATGTTTGCCTGGTTTTCTAAGTCAGATATTTCAATCTCGACATTTTGTTTCATCAAAAGTTCTCTTTTCTTTGTTATGGCATACTCATTATTGAAGTCTGTAATTTCCTTAATAAATTTTTCCTCTTCCTCTGTCATTTTTTTCTTTGTAGTATCATCTCTTTTCTTTGTTATGGCATACTCATTATTGAAGTCTGTAATTTCCTTAATAAATTTTTCCTCTTCCTCTGTCATTTTTTTCTTTGTAGTATCCTGAAAAACAGAAATAAAAGATAAAACACAGGTGTTAATTGTAATAATATTTTTCCTTAGTGATTTAAAATGCAATCATTCAGAGTTATTAACAAAAACATAAAATTATACTTCCCAGTATTATCACAAAAATGCTTTACTTCTCCAGCAATATCAGTAAAAAGCTGAAGCTATTATATAACAACCACCCACAATTTAATGTGAAAAATTTATCCTTAATATTTTGGGAGAATTACCAGTGTAGAAATTCTATTTCTCATCACTATATCTGAGTTTGTGTAGTAAACTTATAACCATAGCACTATTTTGTCATCACAATATAAAATTGTGTGATAAAAAATGACCAAACTTAAAAATGAAAATCTATACTCCTGGGAATTATTGCATTATTTAAAAAAAAGAAAGAAAAATAAGGAAATCCAAGGATACTTTTTAAAATCTAGACAAGGAAGATAAAATTATACATTCACTTCAAATTCAATTCTAAGTAACAGTTTTCATTTTATGAAATATCCACATGGAGAAGAAATAGGGATTTCCATAATCTCTTGACAATGCTAGAACTTAAAATTTTTTGACACTGCCAGAACTTAAACATTACTGTATTTTTCTATTTTTCTAAGAAACATCAACTAATTATGAACTACATTTAGAAACTGGCTATGTTATTCATAATCACCAAGTTTACTGATTCCACTTTAGATATATATATTAATATTTTAAAATGTATTTTCTTTCAAATGTCAATTAATTACAAGTCATATTCCTAAATTGGCCCTGTCATTTGAAACTACTCTTTCTATTGATTCTCACTTATTACTGAAAGGTAAACAAAATGTTTTTTTTCATTCTTTCCCTCACAGCCATAAACATGCATAAAGTGTGACCCTCTCTCTCTTTCAAAAGCATTAAAACCAAGTTCTCAAAGACTGAGCAATTCAAATCAGATTCACTGTTTCTTTTACACTTATTACAATTGCAAATAGTTTCTATATTGCATCCGTGCCAATATAATTATTTCAAACTACATTACTCTACCAACTGGTTTTAAATAGCACTTAATATTTTTCCATATCTGAACAGGAATATCTGCCAATATGCATAGGATAACTTTCTAAAAGTACACGTAAGTATGTATGTGTGTGTGTGTGTGTGTGTGTGTGTGTGTGTGTATATATATACCTATACTTTTTGACACAGTTAAGTGAAATAGATTTTTCTAACTGGCTGGAAACTTACAAAAGTTTGGAGAAGCATATTCCTTTGGTTTGTAATTTCACTGCACTGTCTTTTTAAGGCATTTTCGTAAGTTCTCAAAAGCTGTAAGAGGAAGTCTTTTTCAGAAAGCTGCTGAACCTTTATAAAGTTAAAAACAAATCAGATTGACACAATTAATTAGGTATTTTAGGGTGCGTTAGTTAATAGAACAGATCTGTACAATGTAAAACATCTCTGTATTAATCTTTAAAATGCAAAATAAAAAAGTAACATTAAAACATATTATATGTACTATCATATATTATTTTGTAAGTGCTTTATAATTATAATTTTTATAAACTCTTCTCTCAACAAGACTACAGGCTCTTCAAGGGCAGAGAATGTGTTTTTTCCTTTCCAATACCCAGCACATTTCTAAGCTTAGGTATTAAAGCTTTTCGATTACACACAATAAAATCTGCTTCAAGACAGCTTGTTTAAAGAACAAGTTTCTATTCTCATCACTTATAAGGAAGATACAGATGAATTAAACATGTATACATTATGACTAATAAAATGATGAGATAAATTCTACATACTGCAGGCAAAAACCTGGTCCCATGACTATAGTTATACTAAATAAAACACAAATCTGCTAAAGTCTTCAAATAGGTTTGAGAACTCATTTTTTTATTTCACACCTCATTTGGATCTAACTAGCAAAAGATATAATAAACATTAATATTAGATACATAACTGCTATTTCATTTGGGCTGTAAAGAAAGCATCTCTTGAGACCATGAATGGAAAGGAAAGTCAGGAAGCCAGTAAGAATGCTTTGAGACAAATGCAGGCTGTATAAATTTTGGTTTAACCCAATAAAGAATTTCATGTATTTGCTTTCCAGAGTCAAAATTTCTAAATTCTGATTCTGTTTCTACCACTTACCTGTTGTAAAAGACTTGTCAAAACTAAAAATGGAGAAAATATTAGTTACTAAACTAAGGAATTTTCAAATAAGACTTAAGCAAATTTATTATTCATGTTCAGAAATTAAGGTGTTCCATTCCAGCTATCACTAACTAAGATTTAAATTACCACTGAACTCATGTCCTCCTTTAAAAGGAAAAAAAAATTTTTTTAAGAGAGCTATTAGATATATTGGCATTTAATTGGAATATTTTAGCATAACCTAAAAATAAAACATAGTCAAAACTGAAAAGTAGACAACTATTCAAGACTTACAAGAAGGGTATATTTATAAATTTCCTCCTTCCCTAAACTTCTATGTAAATTATCATGTTGAGGTCTTTTCTACATCTTTTATTACTATTACTATTACTAATCTACTCCTCTTCATTCCCACTTTCTGTTTACACTCTATCTTTACTTTTGCTCCCACATTTTCCTTTTATTAATCAACATAAAAAAATCAGTCAGTAACTACACAAAAATTACAATAATATTAATTTTTTAAACACTTATAATCCGTGATGAAAACAAAACAAAAAAGAATTTACGAGTAGGGGAAACAGCATAACAAAAAGAGGCAGGAGTTTAGGAAATCTCAAGTCAAGAAGGTCAAGTAAGAATAGATAACTACAATATGCTGATTCACATGTTGAAGACAGTAATAAGTAGAGTTGTGGAAGCTACACAGTTCTAATAGTAACAGAGTAATATATATATATAATGTATATATAAAAGTAATATATATATAACATACATATATAACAGAGTGAAATACAAAAACCTTTATATTTTAATGGAAATAAAAGAACAAAAACTTTTGATCTACCCAGATCTTCTCTACCAAGCATGTTACTTTTACAAACTAAACTAGCTTTTCAACGCCATCTATCTGCAGAATGCTTTTCTCATTGTAACTTTTATTCTTTCTGTTATCACAATTTCTTAAATTATTTTTCACATTCTTGTGTTTGAAAACCAGACCTACTATTATAGAAAATTATACTATTATCCTAAATAAAGCCCTGACCATATTGATATCACAAGATGAAGTCATTTTACAAAACAAATTATCATCAGAAACACAACTTGTCATAAGGGAATGTAAGGATCAGAATTGGGGAGATACTAAAAGAGATGTAAAATTATGACTCAAAAATATCTTTTAAAATTGAGACATAATTGATAAATAAAATTATGTTAGTTGTAGGGGTACAACATAATTTGATATTTGTATGCACTGAAAAATGATCACCACAGTAAGTCTAGTCACCATGTGTCACCAAAGTTACAAAATTTTTTTCTTGTAATGAGAACTTCTAGCAACTTTCAAATATACATTATTGACTATAGGCACCATGCTGAACAATACATTCCCATGTTTTAAATTTAATTTTATAACTAGAAATTTGTACCTCTTGACCTCCTTCACCAATTTTGCCCACCTGCAATATTTTGCCCCTCTGGCAATCATCAGTCTGTTCTCTGCAAGTTTTTTGTTGTCATTGTTCATTATATTTTTTTAGATTTTTACATATAAATGGTATCATCTAGTATTTGTCTTTGACTTATTTCACTTAGGCGAACACTCTCAAGGTCAATCCATGTTGTTACAAACAGCAAGATTTCATTCCTTTTTATGGTTGAGTAATATTCCGTGTGTGTGTGTGTGTGTGTGTGTGTGTGTGTGCGTGCGCGCACCCGCACACACATCATCTTTCATCTATCATCAATGGTCACTTAGGTTGTTTCTATACATATTTTGGCTATTACAGATAATGCTGCAACGAACATAGGAGTGAATATATCTTTTTGAATTTTGTTTTCATTTTCTTTGGATAAATATCCAGAGGGAGAACTAGTGGATATGATATTTCTACTTTTACTTTTTGAGAACCCTCCACACTGTTTTCCATAGCGCTGTACCATTCTACCTTCTCACCAACAATACACAAAGGTTCCCTTTCTCTTTACTCCATATCCTCACCAACACTTGTTACTTCTTGTTAATAACAGCCATTCTATAAGGTATGAGATGATACCTCATTGTGGTTTTGATTTGCATTTCCCTGGCTATTAGTGACGTTGAGCATCTTTTCATGTCTATTGCTCATGTCTTCTTTTGGAAAATGTCTATTCATATCCATTGTCCATGTTTAGTCACATTGTTTTTTTGTTATTGAGTTGTATGAGTTCTTTATATATTTTGGATATTAATCCTTTATTAGATATATGACTTGCAAATATTTTCTCCTCTTCAGCAGGTTGTCTTTTCATTTTGTTGATGGTTTCCATTGCTATGTAGAAGCTTTTAGTTTAACATAGTTTCACTTACTTTTGCTTTTGTCTGATTTTTGAGTCAATCAAAAAAACCACTGCAGACTGATGTTAAGTTGCTTACTGCCTGTGTTTTCTTCTGCAAGTTTCATAGATTCATGTCTTACATTCAAGTCTTTAATCCATTTTGATTTAATTTTTGTGTATATGTAAAACAATACTCCACAGTTTCATTATTTTTCATGTGGCTGTCCAGTTTTCCCAACACCATTTATTGAAAAGATTGTCCTTTTCCCATTGTATATTCTTGCTTCCTTTGTCATAAATTAACTGCATAATTAATATGCATGGGCTTTTCTGGGCTCTCTGTTCCATTGATCTGTGTATCTGTTTTTACACCAAAACTATACTGTTTTGTATGGCCTATTAAAATCCCCTACTATTATTATATTGCTGTCAATTTATCCCTTTAGGTCTGTATTTGCTTTACATATTTATGTGCTATGTTGGGTGCATAAACATTAAAAAACTTATCTTGCTCGACTGACCCTTTTATCATTATCTAATGCCCATTTTTGTCTTTTATTACAGTCTTTGTTTTAAAGTGTTCTTCACTTTTAAGTATAGCTATTCCAGCTTTCTTTTGGTTTTCATTTGCATGAAAAATATTTTCCCATCCCTTCTCTTTACATCTAAAGTGAGTTTCTTGTAGTCACCAGATAGTCTTGCTTTTTTATCCATCAGTCACAGTATCTTTTGACTGAAGAATTTAGTCCATTTACATTTAATATAATTACTGACAGGTATGTAATTATTGCCATGATGTTAATTATTTTTTGCCTGTTTTGTAGATCCTCAATCTTCCTCTCTTCTTCTCCTGCTATCATAACTTGTGGTTTGATTACTTTCCTTAGATTCTTTTCTCATTATCTTGTATACACTATAGGCTTTGCACCATGAGACTTACATATAATAGTATATATAATAATATATATATATATCAGTATTTTAAGTTGATAGTACATTAAATTTGAATGCATACTAAAAGTTTACACTTTAATCCTCTCACCCGCAATATTTTGTTACATCTTTTTATTTTGTGTATCCATTAACTAATTGTTGTAGCTATCTGGTTATGTAATTATATGGCTATTTTTCTACTTTTGTTTTTTAACCTTCATACTAGCTCTATAGGTGATTAATGCACTATCTTTACTACATAATTGCCTCTACCAGTGAGATATTTGCTTTCTTATTACTAAGAAGTGCCTTTTCTTTTCAGCTTAAAGAAGTCCCTTTAACTTTTCTTGTAATGCTAGTTTAGTGGTGAACTCTTTCAGCTCTCACTTTTCTGGAAAACTCTTTATCGCTCCTCCAACTCTGAATGCTAATCTTGCTGAGCAGAGTATTTCCAGTAGTAATGTTTTTCCTTTCAGCAATTTGGATATATTATGTCACTCCCTTCTGCCCTGCAAGGTTTCTGCTGACAAATATGCTGTTAGTCTTCTGGGGATTCCCTTGCATATAACAAGTTGTTTTTTCTTGGTGCTTTTATGATTCTTTAACTTTTCACATTTTAATTATAATGTGTCTTGGTGTGGTTCTCTTTGGTTTTGTCTTTTTTGGAATGCTCTAGGTCTCCTGGATCTTGATGTCCGTTTCCCTTCCCAGGTTATGAAAGATTTAAGTGTTATTTTTTCAAATAAGTTTTCAGTCCTTTCCTCTCCTCTCTTGTCTATCTGGGACACCTTTTATGTGAGTATTATTTGGCTTAATATTGTCTGATAGGTCCCTTAAGTTATCTTCCCTTTTTAAAATTCTTTTTTTGTTTTTGCTGCTCCGTTTGGGTGAATTCCATTGTCTTGTCTTCCAGATCACTAATCCATTCTTGTACTTCATCTAGTCTGTTGTAG